AGAAGGCCACACCCACACAGAGGCCTCATTGGTCATATCTTGATTGACAGGCCAGACTCTACCCCTTCACTCGTAATCCTCTCAAATTGACACCAGATTATGTAACTACCACCTAGGACTATAAAAAGTTACAAAATATTGCCTCTAAGGGGTAGCAGGTAATTAGCAGAATTTAAACTCAAACTTGTCTCCTAGTCTCCATTGCTGAAAGCACAGTAAGCATTGAGTCCTCCCAGACAGCCTTGACGTCAGCAGCCAGGTCCGTGCAGAGCGCTCCGACCTGTTTTATCAAGAATCTGTTGGTTGCGAAGTGACAGAACCTCAGCTTGATCTTAATTAAGCAAAAATGAGGAGTATACTGAAAATCACAGGTTCTCCTGACATATCTAGAGCAAGGGCAGGGCGAACAATGAGCCGCAGTGACTTGATGCTTCCAGAAGTGTCCCTGTGGATTGGTTCAGCCTCTTCTTCTGCAAACATGCTTCCTCAACATGGCTGCCAAAGCTTCTGAGCACCTCTATCCAAAAAGGGTCTACTTTGAGAAACCCATGGATGGCCTTGTTTGCATCCAGTGTTCATGGTTGGACCAATCAGCTGTGACCAGTCAGAGCATTTTGATTACCTGGGCTTGTGACAGCATTCAAACCATCTTGCGGATTGTCAGCTAGACAACTCTCCCCGTTGTTGATCTCAGCTATCGGGGCTACTCCCAGTGTTGTCGCTTATGTCCACCACTGAGAAGCTCCTTCTCTTGTCAGATTCACTTGGCCGGCCAGCACAGCATTTTCTCTGCGGAGCTCATAGTACCGAGCTGAGGAGGTTTATGTCATAGCACAGGCAGCATGTCAGGTCAGCCCCTTTCAAGGAGCAAGGTGATCTTGGCACACTGGTTCCTCAGTCTGAAAGTACACAGGCTCCGGCGGGGATGTGCAAAGTCAATACCAAATGCCCCAGTCCTTATCTTTGAAGGCACTAATTGTTCTCTGTTTGACTCATGATTTCTCAGTTTATATTGAAACACAAAACAAAAAGGGAACTGCCTCTCCGAGATCACTGTGGTGGCTTGTGCCACGGGGTGAGTGGCTTTGACGCTTTTCCTCCTCCCTCCCCACGGGCTCAGAAGAAGCAGGCAGGGCTGGTCCTAACCTGATGGTGAAACATATACATAAAAAACACTGGGTTTCTTAACATCGTTTTTTTCTTGCAAGGCTTTTCTTATAGCTTCCTGTTTGCTGCCAGCAGTGACTTAGTGAGAAGCGGTATTCTAACGTGCAGCATCCCTGTTTAGAAAAGAGAGATGGCTGAAGGCCCTGCTGACCTCACTGCTGTGCTCTTCTCCCGAAACCCATCTTGGATCAGAACAGAGGAATGTGTTAGTAGAAAACACAGTGAGAGCAAGGAAGTCCACCTGCCGGGGGTGCTTTTGATCTGAAGCAGTGATGTCTTGGCTCCTGAAGAAATGGGACCATGAGAAGACTGGGGCCCAGGAGAAGAAAAGGGGATGATAGTTAAGTCCGGAGCTTTGTTTCAGCCTGACCCCTAATCAGCTTCTCTGTGTTGTTAGAAGATGGAGGTAGGCAGGGCTGGTGCTAAAAATTTCCCTTGTTGTTTACTCGTTGGTTAAGAACAAGAAGGCTGGAACAAATTAGGTCCGGTTAAGTTCTGGGTCAGCAAATAATTTAACCTTTCTCTACCTCGGTCACTTCTCAGCTATAAAATGAGGATGATGTTCATGCCTAACACACAGGTCTGTTGTGTAGATCAACAGGTAAAATGTATGACATACCTAGCTCAGTAGGTGCCATGTACTCAGTGCTCAATATGTATGAGCTATCATTTTGCTTGTCATCTACATGGATCAGCCTATGTCTTGCCCTAGAGGGTTAAGGGTAAACAGTATGGAAGTGGGGCAATAGAGTGGACCAGATGCTTCTCAGAACTCTGATTTCCCCCGTCTCATCCATCTCTGTATTTGAGGACGAGATAAGAGAAAGTTTACTGGTGCCTATCGATACTCAATAGGTATTTGTTGAATGAAAACTTGATCACACCCCCAATTCAGTGGGTGTTCCAGTCTTGTCATTGTGAAGAATGAAGGTTTCCATAGACATGCTACTAGTAAGTAGTGGAATCAATCTGAACCTGGGTTTTTCTGTCTTTTAGTCTAGTACCAGACCCCTTTTTGCAATGATGTGGAAGTATTAAACCAACTGGTGGTTCTTCCCCATAACATTTGGGACTTTAAGTCTGTAGCTAGAGATGTCCTCCCCCTTTGTCTCCCTGCTGGATAACCTGGGTTTAGATCAAGACAGAATTGCAGATTGTCTATATCTTTTTAGAGGGAAACACTTACCTGTGTCCTCATTTGACCCACAAGGGGAAGGATAATTCTGTTGTTTTCCATTTAAAGCCCAATTTGGAAATCTTATACAGTGCCATGCGCATTGGTCTTTCCAGGTCTTGTCTAGTTTCAACTATGATCCTTTCAAGTAGAGGTCATGGGGTCACTTGACTGTGTATCCTTCTTTCCCGGCTGTCTCTGAAGCCCACCCAGCTGTATTTGAGACTAAACGTCTTGAACTTTGAATCATTTAACAACAAGCATTTATAAGGCACATTCTGTTCTGCCTTGTATTGAAGAAGAAGCAAACACGACAGTCTATCCTGATAATGTGTGGAAGATAGACATAAAAAGACGGACACCTGAAAAGAGACCTCTTGTTGCGTTGGGGTTGTGACTCCATCTCCTTAACTGTTCTCAGGACCTTATACAAAGCTCCAGTTCTGTTGTGCTGATTGGTTATCTGATCTCGCTGAGCCTCAGTTTCCTCATCAATAAAATAGGGGGGGGGGGATGAGTATTTCCATTTGATTGCACTGTCCCATATTTTATTATAAATATGTTTATATTTTCAATGTTATTTAAGGGATACCTGTCAGGACAGGAAAGAATTATAGGATGGGGTGACTTTTGAGTTCATTTAAATGTCATTATATTCTAGTCAGGAGTAAACAGGGTGTTTCTTCCTTAGGGGAGAAATTATGAAAGAATGGAAATGAATGCTATAAATCGGACCCTGATGAAAAAGTTAGAAAATAAGTCAGTTGGCCAGGGTACTGACATCCATCCCGAAGACCTGCACTGCACTCTCCGGGTACCGGGCCCAGGCATCTGCACTGCGGTCTACTGGGTTGTATCCTAGGGTTGTAAACCAATAAGAAACTGATAGGACCGGATGAAGCTGCTGTTCAATGTGCTGATTGAATGGCTGGGGAGAACCTGATCATTATCTGTTGTACTGTTGAAAACAGGACAGGAGACTGTTAGGAAAGAGCTGTGTCAATATGTCCAGAAAAGAAAGGAAACTTGGTAACTTTAGAGCATTCCCCACAGAAGAATATCCCATCGAGGGAATTTGCTTTGACAGCCAGAGGCCTCTAGTAGAGATAGGAATATAGGTTTCTCATAGCTTGAGTCCATTGACTTTCATAGCATTTACTGCCATTATTAAATATTTATTTGCCAGGAACCAAGTTAAGTGCTTTTCATTTATTGCCAAATTTAATCTTTTCAATGTTGCTAAAATATACATACTCTAATACCTCCTGCCCACCCCACTCCAACCCCCACCCCAGATTTGAGAGATGAGGAAAGGGAGGCACAGAGAGACTGGATAACCCGCTCATCACTGCAGAACTGAGCGGGTGACTAATGTCCTGAGACTGCTAAGGAGCTGGTGGTCACGAACTCCTAACACTCCCCCTTAAGCTAAGGTGACCAGGCATCCCGCTTTTGGCGGGACAGTCCGATTTTTGGCATTTTAGAAAAGGGCCTGATTTTTTGGAAAGAATGCACAACAAGCTAGGGAACGGTCTATTTGGTCCATATAGACCAAATTTTTAATCAAGGATACCTCCCCCAACCCCCGGTCAATGGTGCCCCGCTTTAAATCTGGTCACCTTACCTTAAACATTACTCTCTCTTTTCATACCCATGCTAGCTTAACGACCTTCCTGTGCTCTAGACCTCACTACCTGGTGGCTCTCAAACATTTACTTAGACTCAGAGCAACCTTGTCCTTTTTCCCATCCATATCAGTTTCTCTCTGTGTTCTCTGCCTCATTCTGGGATTACAGCAAACCACCAGAGGATAACTGCCCTTGTAAATTTACCTACAAAGAAAGCATGGTGATTTGGGTAGGTGAGAAGCAAACATAAGCACTCAGATCAGCTTATTAGTGTTATTATTTAATTCTACCAATAAACTTCCCTTTAGCTTATGTATCCGGGAAAGCAGTTATGTGTTGGGCTCCTAACTGCAAGGTCGGCAGTTCAAAACATCAGCCCACTCCTTGAGGGAAAGAAAGAGGCTTACTACTCCTGTAAAGAATTACAGCCTCGGAAACACACCGGGGAAGTCCCACCCTGACGTATAGGGTCACCATGAGCTGGAATTGACTTGGTGACCGTGGGTTGGTTTTGTTTTTAACCTTCTGTCTCTGTTCCCCCATGTTTTAGTCATTGCTTCTCTAGTTACGCCTGGACTCTGCAGCCCCTGATATAATTTGAGACTAACTTATCTTTGCCTCTCACAGGAGCTTCAGTAGAGGTGTTTTTCTCCTCTAATTAAGTTACTTCAGCAGAAAAGAATTCCAATATAAGGATTTGAACCCTGGAAAACATTTAGTATTCAGTGCGAGAACGTATATAGGGTTTATTCGTGTGACAGAAGAAGAAAAACGTATGGCTGAAATGACCGTCAACAGACACACCGAAAGCCTAATAGCTCTTAAAGGTCTTCCCCACCCCCCCAGCCCCCAATAAAACAAAAATAAGGATTTGGAATTAATAAGCCTGTTTAACTGCAGAGGGTCCAGATGAGTGGATAGAATGTATATAACTGGTGTCTTGGGCATTTTTATAGCCAAAGCCCTGCTGAAGTTGGGAAAAAGCAACTGCGCTTTCCAGTGCTTCTGACTGGTTGTCTTTTATGTTTCAGGAAGACACCCCAGAAGTGGTTGCTCAAGGCATGGCGGAAGATCAGCAGAACGCATTGGAGAGTCCAGGAGACAAGGTATGTACCTTGCAATTTGGGTTTTCTCTTTACTGGGATAGTATGCGTTATGAGCTGGGTTCTCAAAGAAAAGGACAGGATTGTGATGAAATCAAGTCCTGCGTTCCTTGGCAGGCTGTGATGGGCTGTAGCACCTGAACTGTAACACCTATTATATGCAAGACCTAGCTAGTGGAAATAGCCTCTGTTCATCGCGCTGTGCTACTCCCTTGGGCAGGTGTTTAAAAGTGGGGCATCGATGCAAATACCCTTGCAACTGATTTCTAAGAACACCAAGTTTACTTAAGATCCTGAATAAAAGTTTTAAATTGTCATTCTATAAAAATTTAAACACAGCCATTTTAGTGTTCTTAGAACTTCAACTTTCTGTCTCTTAAGACTTTCAACTTTGATTGTCAAATGTTTGTGCTTTTGTTATTGGAGTGCTTTTTTTATAAAAAGTGGTTTTCCATTTCTAGTGCTAGTATTTTGTTGTGGTTTTTACTTTAGACTAGTAGGATGCACATTACTATTATACTAATATTTAAAGACTTTGGAAAGAATACACAGTCACTGTATCACAAAGAACTGGTCCAGAGTCAGCCGTTTCAAGAGGTAGTTTATGAGCAAGAACTGACAGTGTCGAAGGGAAAAGTCCAAGCTGCACTGAAGGCATTCGTGAAAAACAAAACTCCGGGAACCGACAGAAAACCAATTGAAATGGTTTAACAAGCTGGCGAAGCACTGGAAATACTCATTCATCTATGCCAACTGGAAGAGCTCATATTTGTGTCCATTCTGAAGAAATGTTACCCAACACAATGTGGACATTACCCAAAAATATTACACGCAAGTTAAATTTTGCTGGTGAACATTCAACAGTGGTTGCAACAGTACATCAGTAGGGAGCTTTCTAAAAAGTCAAGCTGGATTCATAAGAGGACATGGAACATTGTTGATGTCAGGTGGATCTTGGGTGAAAGCAGAGAATACCAAAAAGGTGTTTACTTATGTTTGGTTGACTATGCTAAGGCATTCGACTGTGTGGACCATAACAAACTATGACTAGCTTTGAGAAGAATGGCAATCTCAGAACACTACATTGTGCTTATGCAGAAGCTGTACGTGGATCAAGAGGCAGTTGCGCAAACAAACAAAGGGAAGGCTGCGTGATTTAAAGGAGGAAACGTGTACAGAAGGTTGAGTCCTTTCACCATACCTATTCAATCTGTGTGCTGAGCAAATCATCCGAGAAGCTGGATTATATGAAGAAGAGTGTGGCATCAGGATGGGAGGAAGGCTTATTAACAACTTTACATAGGCAGGTGTCAAGAATTTTGCTTGCTGAAAGTGAAGACTTTGAAGCACTTGCTGATGAAGATCAAGGATTGCAGCCTTCAGTATGGATTACAGCTCAAAGTAAGGAAAACCAAAATCCTCACAACTGAACCAATAGTTACCATCATGATAAGTGAAGAAAAGATGGAAGTTGTCAAAGAATTTGTCTTGCTTGTGGATCCACAGTCAATACTCATGGAAGCTACAGTCAGGAATAAAACAATACATTTCATTGGATAAATCTGCACAAGACCTCTTTAAAGAATTGAAAAGCATGGATGTTACTTTGAGGACCAAGGTGCACCAAATCATGCTATTTTTAATCACCTCGTATGCACATAAGAGTTGGTCATTGAATAAGGAAGACTGAAGAAGGATCCATGTATTTGAATTACATGCACTGCCAAAAACCAAATCTATCGTACAAAAAGTACAGCTAGAATGCTCCTTAGAGGCAAGGATGGCAAGATATGGTCTCTTGAACTTTGGATATGTTGGCAGGAGAGACCAGTTCCTGAAGAAGGCCATCATGCTTGGCAAGGTGGAGGGGCAGCGAAAAAGAAGAAGGCCTTCAACAAGATGGATTGATACAATGGCTCCATTGATGGTTTCAAACATAAAAACAATGATGAGGTTATCACAAGACTGGGTAGTGTTTCATTCCATTGAACATAGAGCTGCTGTAAGTTGGAACTGACCAGTGGCACCTACCAACAACAACAACACTTGCCCTGTAGGATCACTATGAGTATGCATTGACTCAACGGGAATGTGTTAACGTTTTGTGTACAACCTCCATCTCAAGGCAACATCGAGCATCCCTAAAATTTTATACCCACAGCATTTTAGAGCTAGAACAAATCCTAAAGTCATCTAGCTTTTCTCTTCTGCCCTAAAGGATGATGATCACGTGAACGTCTAAGGGATTTTCCTTTGAGCAAGTGATTATAACCCGTGTCTGTGACTGCAGAAGAAAAATAGCCCTAGGTATCAATGAGCAGCATCTGCGGGGAGACTAGGTCAGCACAGCATACAGAACTTTCCAAACCGTTAAGCTATTTCAAATGGCATATACTAGCTCCTGAAATAGAAGGTGTTCCATCCAAAGTTGGATAGCAGTTTATTAATAAGTAGTTTGGTTTTGCATCAGCGAGTGAAACACATGAATTCAGGCACACCTATCACCACGCCTACAAGGACATGACAGTGCTGCCTGTAATTAGGTTTGGATGTGTTACTGATTTTCTGCACCTGCTTCCTCATTTTTAAATTGAGCCCAATTCCACCATCATTCATTGGCCACATAGTTTGCTCCAAAGATGTTTCAAGAACTGGGCCATAGAAATGAGCAACGCACTTTCCCTCCTATTATAGAAGCCTTAATTTGGTGTGTCGTCTCTCGTGCTTTCCAGTTTTAAAAGTCACATGATCTTAAAAGACCTCTAGAACTCAAATTCACCTCCGTTAAGAATCCATGTTCTTAACAAAACTCCAAATTATAAGAGAGACCAGGCTTCCTGGTTGGCTAGAGACTTCTGGTACCCCAAGGCCCTAGTCACCCTTCAGGTCTGAGACTGCACTCACCCCGTGGCTCAATTTTTAGCTAAACCATAGACAAGTCTGTAAATTGAGCAGTAACAATATAATAGGGAGAGAAAAGTTGGGGGGAGGGGGAATCCATGTACTGCCTTGAGGTAACACACAATGGAAGTTGAATGTTAATTGCAGTTAAAATAAAAAGCCAATTGCTGTGAGAGTATAATTATTTGGGGCATAATGATATGTCCACAGTGTCACTTACCCAGAGAACCTCTTAGCTGACTTCCCAGCCAGCTACAGAGCATGAGACCCAGTGTTGGCTCTGAGGTGGCAGGGCTGTGATTACTGTCACAGCCCATCCAGGGAAAAGAGGGAGGCCGGATCCTTCGGTGGAAATATGCACAGCTCCTTCCTCTTGACATCCCAGTGGCCAAGACGTTGCATGTGCGCACATGCCTAGCTTCCCAGAGGGAAGACGTCATCCTTGCAGGAATAATTCATCTAGGCCATTCTGCTGTTCATTCTTTCTGGTAATAATTTTTTATTTTGGTTTTTCAAATCAATGATACATATGTACTTTTAATTTTCTTTCTATATTTTTAAAATGTAAATGTATCAAAAGATGTGCCACTCAAGCATTTTCCACATGTACACTTCAGTGACAGGAGTGAAGTATATCATGTGATAAACACGAGGGCTTCAAAACACCTTTCTGGGAAGGGGGAGTTTAAAGAAAATGGACTATTTTTCATGAACTCTTTGGAGCTCTCATATTTGAACAAGTCTTCTTGAGTGTAATATTGTAAAATGACCATGATAAGAACAACTTGGACAAAATTGGACATCCCTACATTCATTGACTAGCCACTGTTGGAAAAGCACTTTCAGTGACCGGCTTGTAGCTCTTCCTCGCCCTCTAATTAGCTGTGCGACTTCAGACGTGTCTCTCACCAGTTTATGCCTTGGTCTCTTTATCAGTGAGAGAGTGCGGATGACTAGCTCTGCGTGGTTCTCAGACTTGAATAAATGCATGGTGCTAAAGTGCTTTGAAGACTGGAAAGCCCGGCGCAGACAGACTGAGGGGGGCGGCGGGATTCCGGGCTTGGCGGGGGTCGGGGGTCGGGGGTGTTGCATGGTCTTCCAGGGGCCGAATACTGGGATGTTTGGTCTGGAGCTGTTTCCTTGGTCCTGTTTCTAGACTCCAGGGGCAGCCTGGTGCTTCACTGCCTCCACCGGAATCTTCCAGCGGGGCATGGGTTCCCTGGTTAACTTCAGATCCAGAAGGCAGGTCAGGTCCCGCCGACATTGTTTCACTGCCTGTTACGCAAGCATGGAGCCCTTTTGGTTTATTTTCTTTTATTTTGAACTAATCGTCATCAAGGCACGATCAGCAAAAACCCAGAATTTCTGAGTTAATTTTCCAAAACTCTTCCGGCATCGGTCTTGATACCATTTTGTTCAAGGGCAGCGTGCCTATCCTACCCTGAGTTTGCCTGTGGGCTCTTCTGTACTGACTCGCTCACTCGCTCCGGCCTTTACTGAGTGAGGTCCTCCTGTGTTCCAGGCACTGGGAAGCCAGCATGAATGAGATACGGTTCTAGATGAATTACAGTTCAACCGGGACCTGACAATTAATAGGCATTTCCTGTCCTCCCCTGCAAGTTGCTCATGAACTTTCCTAATGCACCCATGACTTTTCTGACGTGTCTAGGAAACCAAAGGAAGGACACACTTGTACGGAGTTGTAGCATAGGTGGTTTTCCACAGGATACAATAGACATATGTAAGCTTTACATTGATTATATCAGAATACCTAGAGATCATTTAAAGGTTTCTCTATTACTGTTTTTGCATCACCCACCCAGCCTCATCTAAAGCCCCCAGAGTGAGTGACGTCAGCTCTTTTCCTTTCTTCCGTCCTTCCTTGGTTCTTGCTTCTCTGAAACCTTTTTACGTGTAATGTTGAACGGAGACGCATGAGGAATGGGGCCCAATCCACCAAAGCATCACCACCACCCCGCCTGCCCCCGTACTCTTAAAAGGCAACATTGGAGTGCATCCTTGTTTGGGTAACAGTATTCTAGTTTTAAATTCTTCTTTTGACACTCATCTAACCTTTCTGACTTTTGTAGGCTGCCAGCGAGATGAAACAGCAGAATTGCTCCACAGAAGACGCCTTCACGTCCCGTGACCCGGCTTTATCCCCCACTCCGTCCCCGTGCTCCGTGGAGGCAGAGTCTACAGGCTGTGGTACGGTTGGTCCTCTCTCGCTGTTCCAGGAGGAAGGAAGGGGTTGTGATGTGCAGAAAGGAGCACTGGGCCGGGACTCCGACACGTAGATTCACTTGCTGCCCTGCCTTCTTAGCTTGGGGGCTCGGGCTGACTTCCCCACTTCCTACACCGTTTTTCTTATCCTTCTTCCTGGGAGAATGGTCCTTGCCTGTTGTTTACAGCACAGAGAAGCCCTAGAACACTGCAGGCCCCTCCGCAGATGCTATCTGAATCCAGAGTTACAAATTGTTCTTCTGTAATCGCTCAAAAAGATTGTGTTTCGCTCATGAATAACATCCCATAAAAATAAAATTGAATCCAAATTTCTGCCTTGACTGTATTGACGCATGCTATTTAAGAACTGTTAATTTCAGTGCTTACACTGGTATTCAGTTTTGTTTTGGAATTCCTGGCTTGAATTATGTTGATTGGGGTTTGAAACTAGAACTTCAAAATGAATAATGGGTATTTTCACTTTGCTTTTATGGAACACAAACCAGTTTAAGAAAGGGGGGAGGCTATTTAAAAGCCTATGCCTACCAATGACAAAACATAAGGCTGGGTTAATTTACCAGACTTTGAAACCTTTCTGGTGTCTGCATTTTATTTACTTTTCCATAAATATTAACTCACAAAAGTTTACTAAGCAGATATTATCTTAAAGCACATATTTTTTCTGATTTTTTAATTAAATAATCATTTTATTAGGGGCTCATACAACTCATCACAATCCATACATACGTCATTTGTGTCCAGCACATTAGTACATATGTTGACTTCATCATTCTCACAACACCCGCTTTCCACTTGAGCCCTTGGTGTCAGCTCATTTTTTCCCCTCCCTCCCCGCTCCCCCCTCCCCCTGAACCCTTGATAATTTATAAATTATTATTATTTTATCATATCTTACCCCATCCAACATCTCCCTCACCCACTTCTCCGCTGTCTGTCCCCCAGGGATGAGGCCACATGTAGACCTTGTCCTCTGTTCCCCCTTTCTCCCTCACCTTCCCTCCACCCTCCCGCCATCGCCACTCTCTCCACTGGTCCTGGGGGGGTTCATCTGTCCTGGGTTCACTGTATTTCCAGTTCCTATCTGTGCCAGTGCACATCCTCCGGTCCAGCCGGATATGCAAGGCATGGTAGTGGTGGGGAGGAAGCATTTAAGAACTAGAGGAAAATTGCACATTTCATCGTTACTACACTGCACTCTGATTTGCTCCTCTCCTCCCTGCAGCCCTTCTGCAAGGGGATGTCCAATTTCCCCCCGGATGGGCCAAAATTTTCAGTGAATGTGGCCAGCGGACTACGGCCCACATTCTATTTTTGCATGACCTGATCATTTATACATTATTAAAATGATTAGAAAATGAAAAAAAAATTAAGATTATTTCAGGGAATTATCTGACATACAAATTTCAGTGTTCATCAATAAAGTTTTATTGGCATGGTCTCGTTTACATGCTGTCAGTGGCTGTGTTCACTCCTCTAACAGCACCTGTGAGGGGTGCAGCAGAGACTGCATTTATTACCAAACCATGTTACTGGAAAAGCTGGGGGGTCCCTGATGTAGCCCTATTGCATTTTATTTTATATTTTAAATATTTTATTGTGTCTGAGGTAGAAGTTTACATAGTTAATGCTTGTTCCCTGGCATTGCCCCCGTCTCCTCCATGTGTCGACACCCCCCCACCCACCCACCCATGGCCACTGTCTGCCCCTCCTTGCCTTCTCATCCTGGCATTTCATTAAATGTTGATCGTTGGGTCTCATGTAGTTCAGAGTTTAAAGGGCATATTCCCCATAGGAGTTAGTGTTTATTCTATAGCCCAACCTGTTACTTGACCTCCAGGGATGACTTCAATTGAGAAGGGTACCATGGGGCACTAGTCAATGGGGCTTCCTCTAGTTTCTGTCAGTCCAGGAAGTCTGGTCATTTTATGAATTTGAGTTTTATTCTGAAAGATCAATTACCTTTTGACAATATTTATCACATATTTATTCCTTAATCGGGAACCCTGATAGCACAATGTTTAAGCACTTGGCAGCTGCTAATCAAAAGCTTGGTGGTTTGAGCCCCCAAGCGTGTCCATGGGGGAACATTTGGCAGTCTGCTCCCAGCAAGGCTGACTTGAGGGCACCTAGAAATTACACCCCTGCCGGCAAGTCAATTCCATCTCCTAGTGACCTGGGGGCCGAGGAGCACTGCTCCCTGGCCTGAAGGGCTGCCCATCTTCCCAGGAGGCACATCTTTTTCTGGAGCAGTCGGCCGGTTTCCGCTGCTGCCCTTTGGGTTTGCTGGCCAGTTCTTAACTTACTGTGTTTCCAGGGCCTCCTTCACCTAGCAATAGCAGGAAAAATCTACCTGACAGGTTTTGGCCATGCCGCAGTTTAAGCTGTGATGTTTTTATTCACTCGTTGATTCTTTGTGAAGCATTATTTGAGAGCTTGGTAGCGTCTCCCCGTGGCCTGGCTGGTATGAGAATAAAGGCCAGGGATCTGATTCAGGACTAGTTAGATGGAGGCAGAAAGGGGCGGGGGCTGTCCCAGAACTACATTTCTCTCTCTTCTCACTCACTCATTTACAAAAGGTAAACGTTTTTAAAATCCGAAATCGTGCTACTTTGTACATTGCCTGTATTATGGATTAATAGGAAATGTGTAGCGTGAAATATGTTTTCTGCCAGATCTACTGACAAACCAGGTTCACAATATAATTTTTTGTTGTTACAACATGTTTAATCCTCAGCTAGGAATCCATTAGGATAGTAAATTCCACTGTGAACAATGATTTCCTGTCGTGAATGACACTGGGCTGGGTGTTTGTGTAATCCCTTGAATTGACTACTAGAGAGCAGACATGTGCAGTTTTCCTAGCGGAAGGGGAGCATCACCCACCTCCTAGTTTCCTCGTGGAGACTCAATCCACACCTTCAGCTCGCCAAAAGCTGTAATAACTTGTTGTCCTGAGCCTCACGATCATAATTGTTATGCGAGCAGAACCTCTCCCGGGGTCATGAGAGCCTGTTTCCCGTTCCTGACAAGCCCAGCAGTGACAGTTCAGGACTGCAGTGCTATAAGGCTGTGTCTGGTCTGCCTCATAGCGTAGAGGAGCTGAAGACACTACCCAAGTGCATGAGTGTGACTGGGTCCCAATACAAATGTATCTACAGACATGGAAATTTGATTTTTATACAATTTCCACATGCCACAACGTATTTTTTGTTTGTTTTGTTTTTTCCAACCTCTTAAAAATGCAAAAACCCATGACTTTGTTCCCCTGTTTTGTTTTGGCATTGGTGTCAGGAGCAGTGTGGGTCTAATCTTGGCTGCCTTGCCTTCACTCCAGCTGACCTGCACCTAGGACCCTCTACTATCAGCCCTTTACTGAATTTTAAGGGAGCCCAGGCGATGCTTGCAGCAAGCATTGGCTGCTCAGCACCAGGCTGGAATTCAAACCCCTCAGCTGCTCCTTGGGGGAAGATGAGGCTGTGACCTCCCATAAAGATTTACAGCCTTGGAAACCCTCTGTCGAAATGAGTGGGAATTGACTCACCTATTACCAGTTGATGCCCAATATAAGAATCAATATTTATTTCTGAAGGCTGTTCCACCTACCAGATTTCCCAGAAACTGCTTAGTCTGTCCATTGTTTGATGTCCCAGGAGGTTAGTGGGCGTGATCAGGAAAACGCACACGCCAGGTGGTAGAGGGCAGCGGAGCCTCGGAAACCTTGTGAGGAGTGAAATGATAATGTCATTTTCCCATAAACTTTTTCAAGTTTCCCATCGTAAGTATGATGTTTACAACTATTAAGTACTCTGCTGCTAACGGAAAGATTGGTGGTTCAAACCCACCCAGTGACTCCAAGGGAGAAAGCCCTGGCGGTCTGCTTCTGTGAAGACCGCCGCCAAGAAACTTTATGGGGCAGTTCTGTGTCAGCACATGGCTGGGCCGAGTGGTGGAACTGAGTCACCAACCACACGAGTTTACACCGGATAAATAGGTGTTATCTAATACCTTTTCTTTTCTTTAAAAAAATGTCATGGATTGGGAGTTACTACACCTATCATTCCACAGTTCGATCATGTCATGCAGAATTACACAATTGCTACCACAATCAGTTTCCAAGCATTCTTTTTCTTCCTGGACTCCGTGACATTGCCTCCCCTTTACCACCACCCACCACCCCTGTACCAGCCCCCCCGCCCGGCCACCCCTTATTCTGCTTGCTGCCTCTATAGGTTCTTCAGTCCTGGGTGTGATATACTGAAACACAGAAACCCATATAGCACAGCTTCCAGAGGGTGACCTGCAATGACATAACACACCCCCATATGAGCGAACCAAAGCAAAAGTACCAAAAACGCTGAAAATCAGGTCAGGTTCAGCATGTCTCAGAGGGGGATCACCTGACAAACACCTTTTTGTGCCCTGTGATTTTTTTCACTCATGATCAGAGTCATTGATTCTTTTCTTTTTTTTAAAACTTGGCTGTAAAACATAATTTATTTAAATTATTTGATGAATAATAAATGTCGCTGTTGTGTGACATCCATTCAACCCCAACTCATAGCAACCCCGGGTGACAGAGCAGACCCGAGCCCAGAGAGCTTCTGAAGTTGTCATCTTTCCCCGGGCAGGTCACCGACCGGTCATTGCTCCCTCCGAGCTCCTACTGGATTCAAACCACCAGTCTTTTGGTTGGCAGTCGAGCACTTACTGATTGTGCCACCGTGGCTCACAGTCATAGAGTCCTGAGTGTTCTGTTAGTCATGTATTACTATGTAGATGGTACGTCTGGTGATGTCTACATAATAGTTATTTTGGTACATTTTACTTTATTGATTAAATCTCTTACATCTTAATTTATAGGATATGCTGTAATTGAAAGTACTTAAAGTATTTAGACATGTCCTAACAAATCTTCTTCAACTCATGTATGTACCTAATAATTACCTTAAAATGTCCCATAGCAGCGTTTGTGGTATATTTTGAGATTCTGGAAATGCTAAGTTTAACAAATCTAGAGAAGCCCAAGATTGATGGTTCAAGGTGGCAGGTGAGGGAGTAGTTACTGTTTTCATCTCCAAAACATCATAGGGATGCCCTGTTTCCTCCCTGGGTGATGGGGCCATCATGACCCAGCTTTTTCCATTACGGCGCTTGGCAGAAAACAAGTGACAGAGTGGCACCTGCAAGCCCTGCGGGTCCCCAGGCAGCGGAGTACGCCAGCTGAAACGCATGTTCCCGACACACGTCCTTGCCAGTCACTCTGTGCTCATTCCTTTTCCAGATGAGTTCCAGGCCCCGCTGTCAGTGGATCCTGCGACGTGCCCCATTGTCCCTGGCCAGGAAATGATTATAGAGATATCCAAGGGGCGTTCAGGCCTTGGGCTCAGCATCGTGGGAGGAAAAGACACACCCCTGGTAAGTTTCTGGAAACAAATATATCTGTCTCTCAGAGGTACCCGTTAGGCCTCATTGTGGTCCTAGGTCATGTCTGTAGAATGCTTGGCTTTTTCATAGTGTAGAGAAAACTTAATTATGAATACAGGTGCATCCATATTCCAGCCACTTTTCAAGTTCTCTTAACTTTCACTAGAATGTGATCTAGGACATTCGTTTTTTTGGTTTTGTTTTTGTTTGTCTGATTTGTTTTCTTCGTAAGAATTGCTTTTTAGACCTACAACATGGGAGCAGAACTTAGATATAATATCACTGCCTTTAGAACCATGCTTGGCCAAATGTGGTGAAGAAAGCTAATGGTGCCAGATTAAGAGTTACAGCATCTGGGGTCTTAAAGGCTTGAAGATAAACAAGTGGCCATCTAGCTGGGAAGCAACAAAGTCCACATGGAAGAAGCACACCAGCCTGTGTGATCACGTCACGAGGTGTCAACAGGATCAGGCATCAGGAGACCCCAGACAAGCAATCATATCAATGCAAATGAGGTGGTTCAGAGTGGAGACCCAAAGCCCATCTGTAGACAATTGGACATCCCCTCCAGAAGGGTCACAAGGAAGGGATGAGCCAACTAGGGTGCAGTACATCACTAAGGAAACATACACCATCCCTCAAATTCTTTAATTCCTCTTCCCCCACTCCACTATCATAACCCCAGTTTTACCTTACAAATCCAGCTAGACCACAGTATATACACCAATACAGATAAGAGCTCTCTACACACAGAACCCAGTACAGATAAACCCCTCAGGAATTATAATAGGAGTAGCAATACCACGAGGGTAGGAGAAGGTGGCAGCAGAAAGGGGAAACCAATCGCAATGATTGACATATAACCTTCCCCCTCCCCCACCCCCAGGGTGACGAACAATAGAAACACGGGCAAAGGGAGACAGAGGATGGTATAAGATATGAAAATAATAACAATTGATAATTTATCCGTGGTTCATGAGGGTGGGAGGGTGGGAAAGAGGGGGAAAATGAACTTACACCAAGGGCCCAAGTAGAAAGAAAATGTTTTAAAATGATGTATAGGTTGTTATAAAAGCTATAAGAGCCCCTAATAAAATGATTAAAAAAAAAAAAGAATCATCCTTGATATCCATCAAATGTGCAACAAGTGTCAGCCATTATTATTGTCACCACATGCATTATGATTACATGCAATGCGAGTCACAAGTATACATCAAGTATTCTAGCTCAGTAACATTTTGAAGTGGTCCAACAGTTAAAGAGTTTGCTTGCATGAGTGAGCATTGATTATTTTCAGGACCTTTTGTTTCACAAGCCAATGGTGTCAAGATGTGAAAACATTTCCTGGATTGTTATTTACTCAAAACCATCCATGCCACTAACTCTTTTTGGATATGTTTGAATAGGTAAAGACTTACACATTTGACAAAATTAAATGGATACCAAAAAAGACATAAAAGCCATAAAATTAAAATTGCCTTCTTATTCCTATGGGAGAAGAGTGGAGAGTCCGTCCGCTTTTCCACTCGCCCTTCTTACTCTGTTTTTAAATGAATGGTTCCGTATTTCTGTTGCCCATTTTGCTTAGAGAAGGCAAACAATAAATTGCATGTACTTGTACCAGACTTTCAGATAAAATAGAAATGTGTTTTGTTTTTCCTTTTTTTTTAAATTTTGGGGCAGAAATATAATGTTTCCGACTTAGATTTGCTGTAGAGTGGGTTATTTTTCTATACTAAAGTACCAGGAACGTTAGGAACCACGTGGGCTAAGAAAACTGGGTCCTAGTGCATTTTTCTTGTTTCCTGCTCATGGTCTTTCTCTCCCTCCTGACATCCCATCTGACCTAGAGAATGGCAGCCTTTTAGTCAGACCTTACTATCTATCGGACCCCTGCACTTCAATATGCTCAGAGGCTGGTATTTCTGTTTTAACGAATTTTAGCTTCTTTAGCTTGATTAAAGTGTAATTAATGCTTTCTTTCAGAATTCTGAATAGTTATTTCCTAGATTACTTTCTCTTGGCTGTATAGTTTTCTGCATATACTCTGGTGATTTTTATCATCTTCGGTGCAACTGGGAACTCCTGGAATTAGCTGGACTTAGCAACCAATTGTGCCTACGACCCTAGAAATTTTCTACATTTCTTTGTCTGCCTTTGAATGCCATCTGTTCAGCTTTTGTCCCTGCGCAAACTCTTCATTCGAGGGCTCCTGTTAAGTGATTGTGCTTCTAATAATGGCTTCTATGTCCTCTAGCTTCTCAGCAGCCGTTAGAACAGGTGACTAGGCTGCCGGCCATCATGCTGCTCCTGCTTTATCCAGGACAGGAAGGGTCACATGCCAACACAGCCCCAGACCAGACCACTGTTTCCAGAAACCCCAATAGTCATTCCAGTGTCCCCTGTTCTCAAATTCCTCTCCTCCTCTTCTCTCCCCCAAGCCCAATCGAGATTCTGCACCCTTCCAAGCCCTCTCCTGTTCAGGAAAGCCTTCTCTTGGTTCTCTAGCCCCCGGATACATCCTGGGCTGACCTCCGAGGGAATGTTCAACCATTCCTCTGGTTCTGCTCTCTGCCCTACTTCTCTCCATCATTTACTGCTTGTGGAAAGTTCCTTAGCCTCTCAGAGCCTATTTCTTAATCTGTCCAGGATGGTGTCGAGTCCTTTCTGACTCTTAGAAAGCCTATATCAAGTTTTGAACATTGTAAATCTTTATAGAAGCTGACAGCCTTTTGTTTCTCCCTCAGAGCAGCTGGTGGGTTTGAACCACTGACCTTAGATTTAGCAGTGCAGCACCTTTCTCACAGTGCCAGCAGGGCTCTTTATAGTGCCGTTGCTAGGAGGCGCAAAGAGATGACCTAGAAAAGATGCTGAGGCTTGCACCCAGCACATAGTAAACAGTTGCATGGATCATGTTCTTTCTCCAAGCTGTAATTTCCACATGGGCAAAATAGGGGTTAATACTGATTTAGTGGATTGAGGTTCAGATCCGAGGTTGAATAAGCATAACCAGTAGAAAAATTATATGTCTGTCACTGTCCTGCGAAGGTCGTTGAGTAGCAGTCAAAAACTACTGATCGTACATATTCAGTGTGCCTTTGCTCCCAGGGCCTGTTTCCTTGTTTACCAAAGATGTTCTAGAACATTAAATCGATCTTTTATAAAGTTATATTTTACTTAAAAAAAAAAACCATCATTTTATTGGGGGTTCTTATAGCTCTTATAATAATAATCCATACCTCAATTGTATCAAGCATATTTGTACCATATTTGTATCAAGCATGTATGTTGCCATCATCATTTTCTAAACATTTACTTTCTATTTGAGCCCTTGGTATCAGCTCCTCTTTTCCCCCTCACTCCCCACCTCCCACCCTCATGACCACTTGATAAATTATAAATTATTATTATTTTCATATCTTACACCGACTGCTGTCTCCCTTCACCCATGTTTTTGTTGTTCAGTCCCCTGGTGGTGGCAGTATGCGTCAATCATTAAGATTGGTTCCCCCTTTCTCCCCTCCCTCGTCCACCTTCCCCCTACCCTCCTGGTATTCCTACTCCCATTTCTTTCCTGAGGGGTTTATCTGACCTGAATTCCATGTTTCTGCGAGCTCTTGTCTGTAACAGTGCACATGCTCTGGTCTAGCCATAGACTAGAAAGGCATAACTGGAGTCATGATAGACGGGGGTGAGGAAGCATCAAGGAACCAGAGGAATATTGTGTGTTTCATCGGTGCTTTTCTGAGCCCTGGTTGTGACCCTTCTGTGAGCAGATGTCCGATTATCTACAGATGGGTTTGGAGTCTCTGCTCCAACTCCCCTTGTTCTCAACAATATGGTTTTTTTGTTTGTTTGTTTGTTTGTTTTTATTCATCTGATGCCTGTTACCTGGTCCCGTGAACACCTCAGGATCATACAGGAACACCTCAGGATCATACATGCTTCTTCCATGTGGGCTTATTGCTTCTCTGCTAGATGGCCGTTTTATTTTTAACTTCAAGCCTGTAAGACCCCAGACCTATATTTTTTGATAGCCGGGCACCATGAGATTTTTTCACCACATTTGCTTATACACCCATTTTGTCTTTAGTGATTGTGTTGGGAGGGTGAGCATCACAGAATGCCAGGTTGTTAGAACAAAGTGTTCTTGCATTGAAGAAGCACTTCAACAGTGTCCCAAAGTCCGTTCACTTTCCTCAATGTATTGCCACATAAATATATGTACATAGGCCAATGCCTTCACTTTTATGAATTAATATATTTACAGAATTGTATACCTATGTTTATACCTCTGTTCATAGCTTTGCTTCCTAGATCTTTCCTCTGTTTCCTTTTACCTACCTTCTGCCCCACCATCAGGTTCACCATTCTTGTGCCTCTTAGTAATTCCTCTCAGCTAGATGGCTGTCTACGTCCTCTTCATGGTTTTAATTCCCTAGTTGTTCCCCTGTCTATAGCGTTGTTTTCTCACCACTCCTGTCTCCCACCTCCTCCCCCCAAGTCCCTCCAAGAACCATTGGTTCCACTGCTTTCTCCTCAGGCTAGCTTCCCATGCCCGTCTTATACAGGTAGGCAAAGCAAAAGACTGAAGAAAAAGAAAAAGCATATATAATTCCAGGTGTGTCCACTGTCCTTCATGACTATCCCCCCCTCAATCATGAGGGGTTCTGGGACCTACCCCTCCTAGACTGAAGACTATCTTTCAGGCTCCTCAGGGAACTTGTAGCTTGACTTTGCTCCCATTGCTGATCTATTATGTTCCCTTCTTTGTTCGACCCACTGTGGGGAGGAGGGTCAGACTGGACTTACTCCCCTCCCATGTGTCCCCAGTATTGTCCTCTGTCACAGTATGCTTCAGCAAGGGGACATCATTCTCGAGCTGTTGTCAGCCCTACAGTCCTCTCTGTGCCTTAGTAGCACCATGCAGGGATGTCATCCTCAGGGCTTGATGTGCCAGTATGGAGTCTAGACCAGTAGTTCTCAACCTG